GCGCGGGCGGTCGAGGCCTTTAGGAGAACAGGGGATGGGGGAACTCGAGGAGGGGGAGGGCACTGGGGCAAATCCCCCACACTCCCGGGGCCTCAGTTTCCCCATCTGTAAAATGATGGTAATAATACTTCACCTACCTCATAGGGGAGGTTGTGAGGCCGCCGTCACCTGGGGGTCAAGGCAGGAGAACTCTGAAGGTGCTGCCCGTGAGCAAAGTATTATTACTGCAGCCTGAGCGCTAGGCCCACCTGCCCCTCCCCCGCAGAGCCTGCAGGGACAGCCAGGGCGGGCCTGGGCCCCTCCGTCCCTTCATTGTGCCCCAGGCCCCCTCCCCAGCGTCGTCCCCCGTCTTTGTGGGCCCCCTAGACTTAGTCGTTTTCTTGTTCAGGTTCCCTTTCTTGTGACCATCTCCCCAGGGAAGTGCTGTACAAATTCCACCGCCCCAGAACCCCGCGCCTGCCCACCGGTGCCAGACACCAGGAAAACAGCCACACAAAAAGCCAAGGGGGTCCCCCAGAGCCCCCAACCCGGCTGGGGCCCCAGGGGTGGGGATCGGTGGCCGTTGTTTGTACTGTGTTGGAGTCCTTGAGCGCAAGTGTTTTATAAAAAAAAAACAACAAAAAACACAAAAATCCCACTGTCACAAAAAAAAAAATTGCAGTGACATGAAGAAAGACTGAAGAAAAAATAAAAGGAAAAAAGAACCATACAATTTTCCACCACATGCACCCTCTAAGCCAGCAAGATTTCCTCTTTGCAAAATCATATTTTTGTGGGAATGGGCCCTGCTTTTGTGGCACAGCCCATTCTGATTAATAAAGGATCGTGGAAAAGTAGGGCCTTGGCTGTTTCCTCCGTGGGTCCCAGCCCTCTCTCACCTCCCAGGGGCAGAGGCAGTGGGGTGAGGGGGATGGGGAGCCTGGGCTGTGTCTCCCCTCAACTTGTCACCGTGGAGACTTGTCTTCACTGGTGATGAGGCCCTTCCAGCCCCCGCCCTCAGATCTAGACTATAAACCCACCAGCTGCCCAGGAAGCAGGGGAGCAGCCACACCTCCAGGATCAGACCTGAGGCCAGGCTTGTTGGGAGTGGAGTCTCCCTGAGGTCTGAGGGGCACCCCTGTAGCTCACCTACCTAGTCCAACATCGCCTCCCTCATTTCCCAGGGGACCCTCACCACCCTCCAAGGCAGGTCAGACAAACCAAAGAGGGGCCCTCCACCTTCCCCACCGCCACAGGCGCTCTGGCCGGGCCGCTGTGGTTTCAGGTCAGCTGCTGCTCCTTCAGTTCTATTGGCTGGAGGGACTTCTCCCCACCCTTTGTGGGTTTAATCCTTTAGGATTAGAAAAGTCTCTCCAACTCAAAAGAACCCACGGCCAGACCCAGCCTGAGGGAACTGGGCCCAGTGTCCTTCCGCCACTGTGGCCCCAGGTAAGCCATTTTCTTCCTGCAGTCTCAGACCACAGAGGAGCAATAACCATCCCAGCCCCCCCCTCCCCCCATAGCCAGGGGAAGCCAAGCCTGGCGGCTCTCAGGGTACTTCAGAAGGAAGGTGCTACCTCTGTTACAGGCATGGAGGGAACGAGAACCCTCTGTTGTCCTGTGGCCACCTCCAGAGTGAGAGGGGCCATCGCACCTCCTGCTCCCCAGCACCTGGCCAGCAGCTGCCTCCTCTCGCAGCACTAAGTACCCCCACCTGAAGCTGCCCACCCTCTCCCTTCCCTCCCCATCAATTTCTGACAACCTGGTGTAAATGTCCAGTTAAAAGGTAGTTATTTCCTTTGTCTTCTGATCTCTGGCCCAGAGATTGGAGGGAGCCCAAGGGTCAGGTAAGTAGCCTCAGGAGTGCCACTTTCCAGAACCTCTGCTCTGGCTTTGTTGGGGAAAATGGCTCCGGAAAACTGGGCCTGAAAGCAGGGACAGCTCGGCCTAGCAGAGGTGACTGCCTCTTGCCATGGGCTCAGGGCCTTCTCCTGGACCTTCTGCCTCGTTCCCCTGCCTTCACTTCGTTAGGTCCCTTCATCCACAACTACACTGGGATTCGGCCCTCCCTCCCTGTGCCTGGGACCACTGCCCTCTGATGTTCTCTTTCTCCTGAAGTCCCTCCTGGGTTCCACTACTTTCTGGAAGGCCATCCTGGGCCACGTTCTGCTCTCCTCTCCCCCACAAAGACATCCAGAAGGACAATGCTTGAACATGCTGTGCACCCCAGCCCGTGGCTCCCCTGACCATCTGTATCCCTTGAAGATGCACCACTCCCTGTGTTTGTGTCCTGTGTGTATGTGTTGTGTCTTGTTTAGATTGTGAGCCCCCCTGGGCAGGGATCCCTGTCTGAATACATGTTCTGTGTGGCACCCCAGGGTGTGCTAATAAATGTCCATCCTCAGAACAAGAGTGCCCAGGTGTCTTAAGGAAGCTTTGGGACCTGAGCCAGGCCATGTGGTGGCATTGGAGACAAGGAGGAACTTCTGCACAGAGGCCCCAGTTCCCAAGCACCCTGTTCTGCTTTCCCAGGCTCCTGAGGGTGGGCAGGAAGAGGGGGGTGGTGATAATAAAGCTAGGAGAGGATTGAACCCTAAGCATCTCTGCTACTCTGCTGGCCAGGAGGTCTGAGTGGGGGCAGGGGTTCCAGGGGGAGGAAGAACAGGTTACTAACAACTACCACTCATTCCACACCCAGATGGGACTGCCAGCCAAGGACAGAGGGGAGCTCCTTCGGCATGGATTGAGCACTGGGTTAGGAGGCCTAACACCCATTTATGGGCAAGTCACTCCCTCCCTGGGCCTGTTTCTTGCCCTGCTGCAGTCTCTGCTCTTGTCCTCTGGGTCCCCACTGCCTGCCTTCCTGCTCTGATGCCGACTCCCTTGGCCTCTGCCCTGCATGCCTGGCACAAGCACAACTCCTTAACCACCCCCCACCCTACCCCCACCCCCGCGAACTGCTGACTGCCCTCACACAACTCGGGGAACTGCAGACATGGCCTGAAGACATGGCTTCTTACAAGTGGCCCTTCAAAATCATCTCCCCTCCTCCTGCTACCCTGAGGGAGTCACAGGCAGTTAGGTGTAGGGGAGGGGCGCTAGGACTCCTAATACAGTGCTCTCTTCATCACCAAGGGGAGCTGTAATGCCCAGTTGTCCTTGGCAACAGCTCCCTTCCTACCCTGGTCTCCCCCATTTCCACATGGACAGAGACCCTCAACAGCACTCTCTAGTCAGGCATCAGCACCCACTTTAAACAAACTCTCACTTCCTGGGAGGAACTGACTCCTGATGGCAAAGAGCAATGGAAGCTGCAAAGCCGGGGAACAGGCCTCAGGATGGCCCAGGGGGGCTCCTCACAAGGCCTTGGCCAGACCTGGAGCTCTCGAGTGAATGCAGCAGGGAAAGAGTTTCAGGGAAACAGACCAGAGAGAAAGGACACGTGGGCTCACAGTGCCAAGTTATTCCAGGGTGACCATGGCTGCCTTCACTCTGCTCCCCGACACCTAAGATTTGCGTAAAGAGAAGGTAGACAAGTGCCAGGTTGCGTGGATTCCTGAGCTGCAGTATCAGATCTAAATAAACCCAACTCCGTGTGTGCAGATGGAGAAACTGAGGCATGGGGAGGGCATGACTTTCTCAAGATCACTCAGCCAACAGAACTAAAACTAGAACCCAAGCCTTCTGATTCTAGGACCAGGGATATTTCCTCCATGCCACGACACGAGTCACGGGGTCAGAGAACATTCCTGTTGGCGGCCACACCTACCCAACCTGTGTGATCTGAGAGCTCCCTTCCTTCCTCTAAGTTTGCCGACCCCTAGAAGGCCCACTGGCCTTGAAGGAACCACAGCAGGGTGAGCATGGGGACCTGAGGACCTCTGGGAGGAACGGCCCCAGACCCCTCTTCCCCCTTAAAAAGGAGGCAGCCCCCAATCTTCCCTACCCATTAGCTCTTTCTGTTCATCACTCTCACTTGCAAAGTGACTGCTCCAGACCATCCCCAGCCTCCTCCTAACCTAGGCCCAGCCCAGTGGCCAGCAGAGCTGCTGGGCCAGGCCTGACCTTTGGGCCTTGGATGACATCAGCCCTGTTGCCGTGGTGATGGTGGCCTAGCAGCATCTCATGGGACATGGGTCTCTAGGCTTAAGGCTTTACAAGTTTCTTCCTTTCTTTAAATTTTTATTTTTTCCCCCTGAACAATGAGGGGAGAAAGTAATACCATAACTGAATGAAGAGAAACTAAGAGGGAGAGACAGAAGGAAACAGGAGGGAGGTGGAAGGAGGGAAAGACAGAGTCGCAGAGGGGGAATGGGGGGTCAGCACAGTGAAGAAAGAGAGAAAGGTCAGCCCAGCTTGAAGATTCAGAAACATACTGAGTCAGGAACCTGAGAATTACCCTGGAGAAGACCAAGGAAAGGGGTGCAGTTGGGGGCTGGGAGGCAGAGAGTAAGATACAGCAAGACCCACGGAGACCAGCCAAAGCCTTTTGTGCGTGTCCTCCAGAGGGGCAGCAGCCGGCTGGAGCAGCCTAATGCAGAGCTGAGGCACAGGGACAGGGGGCAGTGCCAGAGGGAGCCCAGGGTCCCCACAGCACTGGGACTCGGTGCTCCCAGGCTTATAAATAAACAGGCGTTGGGGAACCGCACATTCTTTCTCCAAGAAATGTAATTTGTTTACAGCCAGTTTGGTTTTTTTTTCCCTAAAGAAAACACTACTATGTGGGGCCCCTGCCCCTGACAGTGTCCCTGAGTGTCCCTGGCCCTGCCCCCCTCTTCCCATTATTGCTTGGATGGGAAAGATCTGGCCCTGGGAATTGCAGAGTGAGGCACCCCTCCTCACCCACTTGAGGCTGTCCCTGGTGACGGAGTGGAGGCACACAGTGCTCGTCCCTTGGCCCACGCCGCTGTGCCAGCCACCCTGACTGTGCCCATTTAAGGGAATGGAGAGTGCAGGCAATGGGAAAGGCGCTAGGCAGCCTCCCAGAGCAGAGAGCCACTCTCTTCAGTGCAGGAGGCCCCAGGCAGAGTGGCTGCTTTTCAAAACTGACGGCCGGAGGCTCCGGCTGGGGGAAGGGAGGAAGAGCCTTCTTCCCAGCGAGATTCCAGGCGCGAGCTGGGAGAAGAGAGCTGAATAAGAGGCGGCGGTGGAGACCCTGCCTCCTGAGCCCCCCTTCCCCAGACAAACTTTGGGGGACTTGGGGAGGGAAGTATGTACAATGAGCCCCGGTAGGGGGGCAAGGGCAGCTGCGGTGTTTAGTCCCCATCCCAGTTTCCCGCTTCTGTCCTGGGCGCCTGCCTCGCACAGGCGTGTGGTCCATCAGAGGTAGGGGCTCCTGCGCCGGAAAGGGTGGGTCTCGGAGATCCAGACTCCGGGAGGAGGGAGGCTGGTGGGCACCCTGAGCATCCAGGCTCCGCCAAGGTGGTGATTCTGCAGACAGCAGTGACCCTAGTTCCAGGAGGAAGCCGGCACCTCTACTGTGTGGTCAGGAACGCTATCAGGGACCCCACAGAGTCGCAGGGGCTGGATAGAGCCCGCGCTTCTTGGCCCGACGACTGCGCAGAGAGCAGTCAGGGGGCAGTCTCCCTGCCCCCAGGAATGTCTGCTCCCGGCGACTCCCGCGCAGCGGCCCTTCCTCTGCCCACCGCTCCAGCGGGCCTCCCCGAGCCCCTCCTCCCAGAGCGGCCCAAGTGCATCACCCCGGGTGCAGGCTCAGGTGCCCAGTCCTGGAGAGGCTTCCAGGGCGCGGAGGCTGTCCCCCGGGGGGCCCAGAGCCCGGGAGCCGCCCCCGATGAGCAGGTCTTCCTCCTCCTCATCCTCAAAGGCCCGCGCGGGGCGCCGGGGTGGCGGCCGCGGCACGGGCTCGTCGCGCTCGGCCATGCG